CTCCATTCCAGGACTGATTAGGTAAGAAAAATTTAGAGGTGAGGATACAGGGAAATCAGAGGGCCTTATTAAAGTGGGGAAAGCAATCTATTTCACGGTAATGGCTAAAGAGTAATGGTAGTGAAGGGATTCCAGGGTTGCAAATAATTTCTTGGGATATTAGCAAGGTGGGAGACATCAAAGCAACAGGAGAACATTTGAGCGCCCAAAGACCACAGTAGAGCTAATGAATAAACAGCACAAACTCTGAGCCAGCCATTTTGCCTTCTTCACCACCAGCTTGGCAAATAAGCCAATCCACATCTGACTCTAAACCTAGAGGGTCAAACCTAAAGGGTCAAACTAGATAAGTTATATTTGTTGTTTTTAATATTTGTAGGTGCTGTAGGGGCCCTCCATATTTGCCAAGACTAGAGATGTAAAATTTCTGGAGATTTTGAAGCCATATAAAACTGTTTTTTCCCTGTTTTTCCCCACCCCCAGGCCTTCCCATCTCTAGCCAAGACTAGGGTTTGAGGGTGTAGGTGTGTATTAGTTAGTTAGTCAGTTAGCTAGCAAGTTAATTACAGTTACTCCCCCACTTTTGCAATAAAATATACCTCTCAAAGTGCTTACAAACTTTTAAAAGAATAAAAACCGATAAAATCACATTGAGTGGGGAAAAAATCATATACTGTAAACCATTACCCTTTTCTGCCTTGACACTATGCAAATGAAAATCAGTCCCCTCTTCTTCTTCTTCTTCTTCTGAAACTGCTACTGGCCCCAGAAATGAAACTTCCATTGACGCCAGTGGACACTTCCCTTTTTCTCTGGACTAACAGTAGCTGAGGATGGGGCAGCATTGCTGCTGGGGAGGAAAATCACTCCCAGCTTCTTCTCTCTTTTTTTACCATCAGAACAAACCCAGCAACAGTGATGTGCAAGTTGTCACCTTGAAGAGGGATGGCTAAAGGTTAGGGCTACTTCTTCATATTCTCCCCAGGAGAGAGAATGCACCAAATAAAGAAAGCAAAAGAAGATAGCAGTCAGCATGGAGTGTACATATATTGTTTAAATATGTGAATGGATATAGATATAGATGCATATATGATGTAATTCCTATAGTTTAAAAAAGAAAAGCAATGCATCTCATCACACCATGAAGGACTAAGAGTTTGTGTGGAAATACCTCTGGAACATATTTAGAAACACTATGTGGTGCAAAATACTGCAGCAGAGGTTCTGACCAGTGCTTTGTCATGCATGACTTCTCTGTGACTCAGCTAGACTAGCTGCTGACCCATTTCTTAGCTAATTATCAGTTTTAAAGTTCTAAAGGTTTGAACTTTAAACCAGTCAAGAGTCTGTGACTCCCCATCACAAGAAAGTGTTGGCCAATCAGTTGGTACAATTTCAGAAAGGATTATATAGACTAACGGAAGATAAGACTATCAGTGGCTATTACTCATGATTACTAGATTACTTCTCATATTAGATGCAACTGAATACCACTTATAGGGGAATATGAGTGGGGACACTTTATTGTCTAAGGTCCACAGACAACTGGTTGGCCATGGTGCAAGGTGGCCTCTTGTCTGACCATTCCCCTTTTTAGGACTGCAAGTTGCCGGTAACTGTTTCAGGGAGGTGGAACAATTTTATTGCCTACAGTACAATTTACTCCTCTCAAAAAGGGCTGCATGCTCCTGACAACGGAGTTAAACTGTGAATGAGGCAGTGAAGAATCTTCCTGTATTGTCTGATAATAAATGAAAATAATGTTTTCTGGATGTCTTCTGGTCTTGGTCCAGAAAGCAAGTCCAGTGCAATGCACAAATGTGAAGAACAGAGGGCTGTGTGTTAGCTTTTGCTGGATGCTGAATCCTGAACCGAATTTTCTTTTTCTTCTTATATTTTTTCTTTTCTCTCTCTTTTTCCATCTTGAATAACTTGTCTATTTATGTTTTAAATTTTTTTATATTTTATATGTTGTTATATATGTTGGAAGCTGCCTAGAGTGGTCATTCGACTAGATAGGTGGGGTATATATGCAATAAATAAATAAATAAATGTGGGCCAATTTGTATAAGATCTGGAATGGAATAGTCTAAGGTGTCATCAGAAATAATCACATTCTATTCTGGGACAAAGCAAAATGCTCTCATATGATTGTGATTGCTGCAGCAAATCAGAATCTATGAGTGTGACTACTTGGTCAAATACCACAGGATTTGCTCCACTTATAAAAAAGATGAACCTGAAGAATTTTTTTACTGATGGCACAACTTAAAAGGCTGATTTGAATTGGTCCAGGTCTTTTTGCTCCCATAGCAGCTTTTAAACTGCTGCTGGGGTAAGGGGCTTCTACTTTTTCAAGCCATAACAATACAAGTCGGTATTTCTCCTTAGTTGTGGTTAGTTGTGATTGTTGTTGCTGTTTAGTCATTAAGTCATGTCCGACTCTTCATGACCCCATGGACCAGAGCACGCCAGGCCCTCCTGTCTTCTTCTGCCTCCCGGAGTTTGATCAATTTCGTGTTGGTAGCTTTGATGGCACTGTCCAACCATCCCATCCTCCATTGTCCCCTTCTCCTCTTAGTTTCACTCTTTCCCAACATCAGGGTCTTTTCCAGGGAGATTTTTCTTCTCATGAGATGGCCAAAGTATTGACGCCTCAGCTTCAGGATCTGTCATTCCAGTAAGCACTCAGAGCTAATTTCCTTCAGAATGGATACTGATCACCATAATCACCCATCTCCTGAAAAGGACAGAAGCTGATCTCACAGCCATAAATACTCAACTCCCAAACAAACTGCACCAGAGCACAGAATGCTGTCCTCTGAAGATGCCGTCCACAGAAACTGGCGAAACGTTAGGAAGAACAACTTTCAGAACATGTCCTAAGAGCCC